TTTGAAATTTTTATCATTTGCTTATTATGCGTCATTAAGTACCTATACAAAATTTTATTAAAGTAAAACCATTTAAACTGGGTGTTCGGATTTATATGTCACTTAGTATAATCGGTCCGATGAGTTCCCAGAGGCTTTGACTGCTTAAGTTTATTTGGATTTTTTGAAAAATCATGTACAAAATTTATTGGTGTGGACGTGCCACTGAGTATTTGCAGGGACATGTGGTTTCAGCATGATGGCTGCCCAGCGCACTATGCACTCTCAGTGAGAGAGTATCTCGATCAAAACTTTCCAGGCAGATGGATAGGGCGGTCTGGTACAATACCGTGGCCAGCCCGGTCACCAGATTTGAATCCGTTAGATTTTTTTTACTAGGGAACTGTAAAAGAAAAAGTTTATTTCAAGCCGATTCAAAATGTAGCTGAGCTACGGCAAAACAGCTGAGTTTGTTAATAACCGTGGATTCGCTCGTTTAATAACCCGATCTTTTTTAAGATGTCGAGCGTGTGTTGCGGCCGAAGGAAAACAGTTTGAGCATTTGCTGTAAAGGTAAATCATCATCAGCAGCATTTTGACGCCCACTGTTGTGCAAACAGTTATCCTTAAGGGTCCTTGTGCGTTTTCATAATCGCTGTTTAATTAGTAAATTTTGAAAAATTTTCTTCAGTTTTTCTTCAAATAAAAATTGTGCATAAGTTAACGAGTAACTTTTAAGGTTACTTGCTAAACTCTGGCATTACATTTTTTCCAGTACAGCCAGTTTAAGTTGAGCAAAGTTTTACTTTGGAATACTTGGTTGGGAAATAAGTGGCAATTTTTCCTGAACGAGAAAAGTTGGCAGTAAGGTTGAGACACCAGTTTGAAGATGCATTATTCGTCATTACATTGTAAAAATAAAATCCAAAAAAGTTAATATTTGTAGTAACAGGAGCTGACAGACTGCCGTAGGGTGTAAAATTTCTACATTTTTTTCAAAGACCTATAATTTTCAAAACACATGCATAAACAGTTTTTAAATATTTTTCTGATAGCTGTTATGACTTTGCCTATCACCCGGTTTCGGCTTGACGTCGACTTCTGGGACACCCTGTATAGGCAGGTATATATATTTATAGTAAACTAAGTTTGAGGATCACTATGAATATATTATTTCAAAAATTGACAAAAAAAATTACTTTTATAGGGCTTCTCATAGTCTTGGTACCTATTCCAAGAAAACAGTTCATAATACAATTATTCTACCACATTCACTATATCGTTCAACTATCTTGTTCACTGCCAATGAAGCTGTATTCTCAAAATTACAAGTCGTGCAAAATAAAGCTATGAGAAAAATATTGAATAAAAGCAAGTACACCAAAATAAAATCTATGTTAGAAGAATTGCAGTGGTTGAATATAAAAAACTTCATAGCATATTTGGTTCTTATTTTTATATTTAAAATAAAAAAATCATCTTTTGTCAGAACATTTAGAACAGTATATAGAATTGAATAATCATTACCACAATTATTATACGAGAGGAAATATAGATCTTCATTTACAGAATTGCAATAGTAATATAACTAGCAAATCAATATTTCAGAACGGATTACTTGAATTTAATGAACTAAATAATGATATAAAGTCTAGTTGTAATTTAAAGATATTTAAAAGCAAATTAAAGGAATATTTCATGGACAATAAAATTCTTAGAGACGCAAACTTTGATTATTTTTTCTGTTATTTTATGTAATCGTTTAGTTTTATAAAAGAATGTAATTGTAGCAATCATGCTAAATAAAACTTAAACAAACAAATATTCCTTCCGAAACCTACCAAAAAGTGATGGAAAATGTAATCAAGAGACATTTGTCTGATATTATTTTTCATACATAATTTCTAAGTTTCAATAAAAGATTGAGATGAAAATAATGGACGTATTTAATTTCATTTCTCAAATATTTGAGGTACAACCCAGTCAGTTACATATCGCCACCCTGTATATAGAAGCCAAAAGAAAATTAGCTATCAATACACCATCTTTCAATATAAGCTATGCTAACGCCACTTGAGAATATTATTAAGGATGTCATAACAACACTATTGCCAGAGGGATTACAGTAAAAAACTATCTATACTAAGTGACATATAAATCCGAACACCCAGTTTAAATGGTTTTATTTTTATAAAATTGTATAAGTACTTAATGAAGCATAATAGTAAATGATAAAAATTTCAAAATGATTGCACTGTTTTAAAGCCCTTTGACCTTTAATAATGTGTGGATGCACCCTGATGTGCTACGCATTCTCCAACGCGCCTAGGCATGCTTCTGATCAGGTGGTCAATGTCCTCCTGTGGTATCTCATTCCAGGCAACCACCAACTCCTCTCGAAGTGCTTCTAGAGTCTGAGGAGAACGTTGCAAATTGAGCAATCTCCTACCCATCATATCCCACACGTGCTCAATTGGGGATAAGTCGGGAGATCTTGGTGGCCATGGTAATAATGTGACATCATTATGTTGAAAGAAGTCTATTGTGACTCTTGCAACATGTGGTCGGGCATTATCTTGTTGGAAAGTTGGATCTGTCAGGGTCTCAAGATAGGGTAAAATATGGGGTTCTAGAACTTCGTGGATATAACGCTGCGCGTTCATGTTACCTCTGATGAAGGTGACCTGGAACCATAAGCTATAGCACCCCAAACCATAACTCCAACAGTGTGATGAACATGTCTTTCAACAAAAAACTGTGGATTCCTCCTTTCACCACGTCGATTTCTAACCCTTACACCGACGTAATCACCTTGAGTGGTGCAGACAACGGTCACTCTGGGATCAGGAATGGAACAGTATTGTCTTTTGTGACGAGTCTTGATTTTGTTTAGGCATGCACGATGGTCGTGCCAGGGTTAGAAGGCGACGTGGTGAAAGGAGGAATCCACAGTTTTTTGTTGAAAGACATGTTCATCACACTGTTGGAGTTATGGTTTGGGGTGCTATAGCTTATGGTTCCAGGTCACCTTTAATCTTTATCAGAGGTAACATGAACGCGCAGCGTTATATCCACGAAGTTCTAGAACCCCATCTTTTACCCTATCTTGACACCCTGGCAGATCCAACTTTCCAACAAGATAATGCTCGACCACATGTTGCAAGAGTCACAATAGACTTCTTTCAACATAATGATGTCACATTGTTACCATGGCCACCAAGATCTCCCGACTTATCCCCAATTGAGCACGTGTGGGATATGATGGGTAGGAGATTTCTCAATTTGCAACGTCCTCCTCAGACTCTAGAAGCACTTCGAGAGGAGTTGGTGGTTGCCTGGAATGAGATACCACAGGAGGACATTGACCACCTGACCAGAAGCATGCCTAGGCGCGTTGGAGAATGCGTAGCACATCAGGGTACATCCACACATTATTAAAGGTCAAAGGGCTTTAAAGCAGTGCAATCATTTTGAAATTTTTATCATTTACTTATTATGCTTCATTAAGTACTTATACAAAATTTTATTAAAATAAAACCATTTAAACTGGGTGTTCGGATTTGTATGTCACTTAGTATATTATCTGGACTCATCACAATGGATTACTTTAAGAGTCCCACTGTGGCTCTTAAATGTATTGAGTAGAGATCGCTCTCATTCGGTCTCTACCAGCATCTCCATGTCTTCCGAAAAACGTAAAAAAATCGGAAGACTCCACAACAGAGGAAGAAACCCTTGAGGAATCTTCCACCCAAACCAAAAAGAAAAGAATCTTGTCGAAACCCTGAAGAATTCGTAGGGCTTAATTTATTTTAAAGCACTGTTATTCAAATGTTAATATACAGGGTGTTCCATAATTATTGCGACAAAATGATAGGGGTTGTAGAGGGCATCAAAATGAACAATTTTTCCTTATAAACCCCTGTTCGGAAATATGCCGTTTGGGCTGCAGCAAAAAAAAAAGATCAGTTTCTTGAAACAGCTTACCTACAGTAATTGCTCAAAGTGTCCTCCACCTTGCTCAATACACAGCTGTGCACGATTGTTCAATGATCTGCGAACTCTGTGGCATACCCCTGGTATGTCCTGAACATGTGCGGACGCGGCCATCATTCTTCCCAGTAGCCCTTGTTGGTTGGGAACAGGAGTTTCGTACACTAAAGCTTTCAGATAGCTCCAGATAAAATAATCCAGTATGGTCAGGTCAAGTGACCGCGCAGGCCAAGGCACAGGGCCACCTCGGCCTATCCACCTATTTGGAAATTTGTCGTCCAAATACTGCCGCACTTGTAAAGAAAAGTGGGCTGGACCGCCATGGTGTTGAAACCACATGTTGGCTCTTATATTCAGTGGCACATTTTGTAATAGTTCCGGTAGCACATGCTGTAAGGATCGACCATAAGCATGCCCATCCAAACGTGGTGGAAGCAGATATGGCCCGATGATATGCTCGTCCACAATGCCGCACCAGATGTTAATTGAAAACTGATGTTGGTCTCTATGGATGGCTATGGCATGAGGGTTTTCTTCATCCCAAATGTGACTGTTATGGCTATTAAAATAACCGTCCTTTGTAAAACAGGACTCGTCAGTGAACAAAACGTAGCGACCAAAGTTTGGTTGCCTCAACTCCTGCTGCAGCCACCAACGGCAAAAACGTCGACGCGGCAGATAGTCTGCTGGACACATGGCTTGGACTTTTAAAAGGTGGTACGGGTGTACGATAACAAAAATGTAAACACAGCAGGCTTTTTTTACAAACCGGTGAGACCATGAAATGTGCTAGACGAACATTTTGCAGCTGGTGAATTTTTTGTTTCTCCTATGAGCTCTTAAGGTAAAATTAACTGTAGTGATCAAACGGCATATTTACGAACAGGGGTTTATAAGGCAAAATTGCATATTTTTATGCCCTCTACAACCCCTATCATTTTGTCGCAATAATTATGGAACACCCTGTATACATAGTTGTTACATGGTTGATTTCACCACAACTTTGAAAACAAGATGTGATATCTTACCCAAACTGAACCAAGCAAAGAACTAGGTGCATGCAGGAGTAGGCCAACCTTAGCGTATGAAGCGCTCCAGAATTGTCAGCATGGTAGTTGAACATAAAATGCCCCGACACTTGGATCAACCTGATGTTTGGCATCAGGTCGGCCACTAGGCCGGCCACCTTGAATTTCATCATCTGAAACAATAAACTATCAGATTAGAAATAAATATATTATCATACGTCACAGTATTGCATGAGATAAGTATAGAGGAATGACTAACTGCACCATATGTGGAGCTTAACTTCCCTAGGGAAATTGCATAATGTATACTTTATCTGAAGTCACTTGAAATAGCATAAAAACCTTTGGTCGGCGCGTCCTTTGTAATTTCATGACGTATCATAGGTGTGCGGTCATTTATTTAGAACGATAATAATAATGTTTTTATATCACAATAAATGGATTTTACTATCTTCCTATTTTTTTGATTTGGGATAAAAAATACTTATATTGGGAGTTTAATTTATGTTGACTGAAAGTTAAGAAATGGAAAAATTACAGAATTCCAACGTTTGACATAGGCAAATATTTACATAGCAGGTAGGTATATAAAAAGGTATATAAAGACTTACATTATAGGTATTTATATATCATCCTCGCCTTCGGAGCTGTCGCTAGAGTCATCTTGTAGAGGAATTACAACGGGATTTACAGGAGGCAAAACACAATATTCATTTTCTTTTTCAATAATATGCCTAGAACACTGCTTCCATAGGTCTGTGGCAGCAATATGAGATACTGCATCTCTTATTGTGGCCAATAGCGATTCACTTAATTGAGGGGTCTGATTATGTTTTCTTACTTTTTTTTTAAAGCAGCCCAGACCAACTCAATCGGGTTAAAAATGCAGTAATAGCTAGGTAGACGTAATACTTCATGGCCATTTTGCTGAAGCAGATTGTCAACAACATACTCTTTTTCAAATTTTTGTCTTTTAATAAGATCCAATAATATGGCTTTGGTTGATTTTTGTGGTATTTCCATTCCCTTATCCTTCATAAAATCAATAATGTCTTGTTTTTCTGTGCCTGTATTCGGAATTTTGTTATTCTGTCGGGAATGGTATGGCGCATTGTCCATAATAATCACTGAATTTGGGGAAATGTTTGGTATTAACTGCTGCTCTATCCACTTTTCAAATAAGTCGGAGGTCATGTCCTCATGATAGTCGGCACATGATTCTTTGATATTTTTGAAAGATAACAGCAAGGCATTAGGTATAAATCCATTTTCACTGCCAGCATGGAGAATAATGATTCGTTTTCCACGGTTGCATGGTGCATTTAAAATGCAGTTGTTGCTGTCGTCAACCCAGCCGTACTGCACAACATCATACCACGTTTCATCCAGGTAAATCAGATTTCTTTTCTGCTCTCCATAGATTTTAACTTTGTGCAAAAATTCTTGGCGCAATTCAACGATTCGCGACGACTCCATAATCACCATTCTTTTATCTAATTTTTTGTATTGAAAACCACACAGTTTCACAATACAGTGCAGTGAGTCTAAGCATTTGTAATTATAAAAATCTTCAGGATAATCTTTTAATTTATCCCGTATCATTTCCAGCGTGGGCACCAAATGTTCTTTATAAAATCCGTATATTATACGACGAATATCTTCCTGAAAACCCACGTCTATTCTTTTTAATTTTTGCCATATGCGCTTTCTGTGGAAGGAATGGTTGACTACATCTCCCCTTTTTATAACCCGATAAATGGTAGACCGACTGATTTTTGTCAGGATACAAATTCTGTTTAAAATTTGATTTTGCGAGGAATCTGGATTTTCGTTTTTCAGACAATCATACATACTATATTTAGGATTACTCTTTGGGTCTGTTCCTCTAAATCTTTATGAAAGAATTCTGCCTGCACAGGTTCATCAACCATCTCCTCGTGGCTTGGAGCATTTTCCCAAGGTCTCCAAAGAGCCATATTTAGGACACACAAGAACAATCAACACAACAATTAAATAAACAAGTAAACTGAGTATTCAAAAGTCAAAAACACACAAACTAATAAAATCTATGAAAAAACACGGACAGACTAAAGAAAACACGTTTATTCACCGCTACACGGCACTGGCTATACTGTTTCAATTCTCAGTAGCCACCTGCACTTGTTCGGAGTTCTGAAATACACGCTTTCTGATTGGCTATGTCCACGCATAGGCGTGCTTTACTCCACGTGGACCGGTGAAACTGCCTTTGATCTTATACGGGGGATATTTGCTGCGAAATTTGGCGATTTTTGCAGCAACAGAGCGTGTTAAATATAGATATATAAAACGCACCCGCTATTTCACAGTGTTTCAAGTGACTTCAGATAAAGTATACAAGCCGATCAGGTACTGCATGCACACAGAGATATGTGGACATGAGAAAATCTGATCAATCAAAACTAGAACTAATGATAGTAAACAGGATGTTTGTGATAAATGAAGCTGTATCTTATCTCAATCAAATTAAAAAAAGTTGTAGTCAAACAGCGATCGAAATAGTAGGCACCTCCAGCATTCTCTAGCACACCAGAAGACGCTCTCAAACCAGCTCCAAGTAATCTAAAAATTCGAGAAAAATCAATCATTGGTGTTACTAGAGTCATGACATTGAAGTCGGATCAGTTCAGTTAAGTCCTTTCTCTCCAATTTCTATGATATAATCGACAAGCTTCATCAAAGTATGGAAAAGCAACTATTCGTGTTACTAGAGGCATATAACATTAAAGAAGGATCAGTTCAGTTAAGTCGTTTCTTTCCATTTTCTATTCTTGACAAGGTCCATCCAAGTTTTTTATAACTATGTTTATCATCTGTGCATTTATTCACGTACATTTACGTTCACTGACATACAAAATTCAGTCACTAGCATGGCTGAGCCACTACAGAAACAAATCAGAGATTTGAAAGTCTCTAAGAAAAACATTAAAACTACATTCACTAGTTTCAAAAAATTTGTTCACTCATTAGAAGAAGCCCTATCAAGGCCAAATCAACGTTCACATTGAATCAAAGGTTTTGAAGCAATTCTGGATGGTAATTCAAACATCATTGCACAGCTACAAAGCTTGGATGAGAACACTGATTTCGAAGCAAAGCTTTAGCTTTTCGAAAAATCATTCTATAACATTATGGCTAAAGGTAGTGCACTCAAAAAGAACTTGATGTTGAATGGTTCAGAACCCGCGCTCAGCCTGCCTATGCAACTGCCAAGTTACCAGTTATTAATTTGCTCATTTCTGGGGTAGACCACGTACAATGGCTTACTTTTCCAGAAAGGTTCGACTCACTTGTCCATAACAATGCTAGTTTAGATAAACTTAGCTTAGAAAATTCTATTATTTGAAATCATGTCTACAGGAGCATGCCGGAAGCAACATTGCATCTCTTGAGGAATCGTCAGCTCACTATGAGGTATACTTTATCTGAAGTCACTTGAAATAGCATAAAAACCTTTGGTCGGCGCGTCTTTTGTAATTTCATGACGTATCAAAGGCGTGCGGTCGTTTATTTAGAACGATAATACGATAATAATAATGTTTTTATATCACAATAAATGGATTTTACTGTCTTCTTATTTTTTTGATTTGGGACAAAAAATACTTATATTGGGAGTTTAATTTATGTTGACTGAAAGTTAAGAAATGGAAAAATTACAGAATTCCAACGTTTGACATAGGCAAATATTTACATAGCAGGTAGGTATAAAAAGGTATATAAAGACTTACATTATAGGTATTTATATATCATCCTCGCCTTCGGAGCTGTCGCTAGAGTCACCTTGTAGAGGAATTACAACGGGATTTACAGGAGGCAAAACACAATATTCATTTTCTTTTTCAATAATATGCCTCGAACACTGCTTCCATAGGTCTGTGGCAGCAATATGAGATACTGCATCTCTTATTGTGGCCAATAGCGATTCACTTAACTGAGGGGTCTGATTATGTTTTCTTACTTTTTTTTAAAGCAGCCCAGACCAACTCAATCGGGTTAAAAATGCAGTAATAGGGAGGTAGACGTAATACTTCATGGCCATTTTGCTGAAGCAGATTGTCAACAACATACTCTTTTTCAAACTTTTGTCTTTTAATAAGATCCAATAATATGGCTTTGGTTGATTTTTGTGGTATTTCCATTCCCTTATCCTTCATAAAATCAATAATCTCTTGTTTTTTTGTGCCTGTATTCGGAATTTTGTTTTTCTGTCGGGAATGGTATGGCGCATTGTCCATAATAATCACTGAATTTGGGGAAATGTTTGGTATTAACTGCTGCTCTATCCACTTTTCAAATAAGTCGGAGGTCATGTCCTCATGATAGTCGGCACATGATTCTTTGATATTTTTGGCAGATAACAGCAAGGCATTAGGTATAAATCCATTTTCACTGCCAGCATGGAGAATAATGATTCGTTTTCCACGGTTGCATGATGCATTTAAAATGCACTTGTTGCTGTCGTCAACCCAGCCGTACTGCACAACATAATGGGTATCATACCACGTTTCATCCAGGTGAATCAGATCTCTTTTCTGCTCTCTATAGATTTTAACTTTGTGCAAAAATTCTTGGCGCAATTCAACGATTCGAGACGACTCCATAATCACCATTCTTTTATCTAATTTTTTGTATTGAAAACTACACAGTTTTACAATACAGTGCAGTGAGTCTAAGCATTTGTAATTATAAAAATCTTCAGGATAATCTTTTAATTTATCCCGTATCATTTCCAGCGTGGGCACCAAATGTTCTTTATAAAATCCGTATATTATACGACGAATATCTTCCTGAAAACCCACGTCTATTCTTTTTAATTTTTGCCCTATGCGCTTTCTGTGGAAGGAATGGTTGACTACATCTCCCCTTTTTATAACCCGATAAATGGTAGACCGACTGATTTTTGTCAGGATACAAATTCTGTTTAAAATTTGATTTTGCGAGGAATCTGGATTTTCGTTTTCCAGACAATCATACATATTTAGGATTACTCTTTGGGTCTGTTCCTCTAAATCTTTATGAAAGAATTCTGCCTGCACAGGTTCATCAACCATCTCCTCGTGGCTTGGAGCATTTTCCCAAGGTCTCCAAAGAGCCATATTTAGGACACACAAGAACAATCAACACAACAATTAAATCAACAAGTAAACTGAGTATTCAAAAGTCAAAAACACACAAACTAACAAAATCTATGAAAAAACACGGACAGACTAAAGAAAACACGTTTATTCACCGCTACACGGCACTGGCTAAACTGTTTCAATTTTCAGTAGCCACCTGCACTTGTTCGGAGCTCTGAAATACATTGGCTATGTCCACGCATAGGCGTGCTTTACTCCACGTGGACTGGTGAAACTGCCTTTGATCTTATACGGGGGATATTTGCTGCGAAATTTGGCGATTTTTGCAGCAACAGAGCGTGTTAAATATAGATATGTAAAACGCACCCGGTATTTCACAGTGTTTCAAGTGACTTCAGATAAAGTATACCGTAGAACTTACTAAAGGAGCGTCAACAGAACCAAAAAATGTCATTTTCGCATATATCAAGAATATATTTGAGAGAATCTACGGTATATCATCGCAAGAAATTTAGGAATTTCTATAGAGTAGCGCGCAAGTGCTTCAATACATCTCCTGACAGGATCTCAACTTCGCACAGGCCGTTAAAGCACCTATGGGAGTTAGTAGTTCACTATAAGGGCTATAGGGGATACAGGGGAAGAGGGGGAGGGGCGGCACGGACCCTAGCGAGGGAACACGTTTGCAGGCAGCATACACACATTCTGGCACGGGCTATGAGATCCGCCGAGTGGTATCTCCGCGTACGACAGTCAGAGACCGTCTACCATCTACGAATAATCACAGCATCCATAGCGAAGGGAAAAATTTCTCTTGGGACGGGATTCGAACCCGCGCTGCGCAAGGCGACTGACTTGGAGATCGAACAGTCTACCACTGCGGCCACCGCTGCTGCCATGTGCCTATGTCTCCTAAGCAGGGACGTAAACGGAAAAAACAGACTACCGTTAAGCAGGAATTTGAAGAGCTCCAAAAATAGATTGTCAATACCACTGAAAGAGGGAGCTAACACCTTTTTCTGTGGAAACATACATCAAAACCTGGCGTGTGAGATGGATCCATTTTATACAGGGTGACTTTGAAGTTGAGTCATTAATTTTCAGATAATGATTGTAGAAGGAAGATAAACCAAAATATGTGTGTAAAAATAAAAAAAAAATAAAAAAAATGTTACCTTGTTTAATAAAGTATCCTCCCGACAAGTATTTCAGTGCGGACCTGTATTTGTTCGTGCGGTCTTGGAGCACCGGCATGCCCTGACCTGTGAGGTCTTAAGTCACCTGATTCACGAGCCCTTTGTACTACATCAACAAAGGCACGAGGGGTTGGTTGCACTCGATTAAATAAGAATCAATGCCCACAAGTTCACAAGTTCAGCATTTTCGTGAACATGTGCAATTTTATATTTCGTTTGAGCCACGCAACAAACACCACTATTCACTCACGCGTTACCGACTGAAACATTGACTGACATCGTGATAAACGTTTCAAATTCTTTCGCTTTTTTGTTTCCGATGCGATGAACCGATAAGGCGGATTATTTCCGTTGTCGCCAAACACGAGCACATAATATTATTATTGAGACAGGGCGGTACTCAAACCTCTAAAGGGCTATAACTTTGTTAATTTAATTTTACCAGAAAAATGTTAAAGGAAAAAAACATTTCTTTTGATCAGATCAACTCACTGTTAAAATAAATGACTCAACTTCGAAGTATATATAGTATCCAGGCAACATGATGGAAGGGTCAGGACGGTTATTATCTCTAACAAATGCTTGAAGTTCAAGTTGTTTGTATATTAGTTTTTACAAATCCTCTGCTATAGTATTTATCAGTTTTTTGAAGATGTGGTCTACTGGCCCATTGTTGGCACTATAGAAGGTTTACCACGTATTTTATAGTGATATTTCCTTCTCCTGTGTAGTCACGTCTAAGCTCTTCGCGAAGCTGTTGTAGTTCTTGCATTTGACCTCTACTTTTTTCATCTGAGATTCTAATATGGCGAAGCGTGGGTGGCTAAGAAGGGAGTTTTTCTTCGCAATACGAGGGATGTCTTTTAAGTTTTGCATATGGAAATAAAACAACACGTTAGGTAGTTTCAAATGACTATATTGTTTTTCGAAGTATTCTCCACGAAGATTAATACACATCTGCATGCGCTCGAACCAATTTTCGAAGCACTTATTCCACTCGTTTGCTGGCAGATCCAAAACGGTATTTTTGAATGCGTCAACTGCTTCTTGTGGTGACTGGAACCCTTGACCACTCAGTCGGTTTTTAATTTTCGGGAAAGTAGAGAAATCGTTAGGACTTAGATCGGGACTATATGGAGGATGGTCCAATAATTCCACGTTCTCTTCCGTTAAATACTGCCTTGTTTTTTGGGCCGTGTGCGAGCTTGCATTGTCTTGGTGGAGGATGATTCTTCTTTCGGGGTTGATTTTTCCAAGCTCGGTTTTGGCAAACAAATGGTTGTATACCAATCCGCAGTAACAGTTCTTTGCTCATTAAGAGGAATTGTTGCAATATGAACCGCTTTTGACACAAATGTCGCGACCATCTTTTTTGAAACACTTCGAAAACGGATGACTTTTGTTGGCTTTTCTTCACCTTGGAATACCCAAACAGCCGACTGTCATTTATTTTCTGGTTCATAACAGTAAATCCACGATTCATCACCACTAACAATGCTGCACACATTTTTTCAGTTTAGGGAATTGAAACGATCAAACATATTTTGACACTAACACTGGACAATAAATTTTAGTTTTTTAATTGTATCTTGTGGGAAAAGTGCACTTCTTTGTTAATTTTGGGGCGCTGAATCCAAAAATGACAATGAAATAAAAAAATTAGTTGCGGTTTAGAAAAAAAACGTTTTATTTTTAAGGATATATTAAAAAAAGTAACAAGATTCATATACTTATAAGAATCACTATATGCGCTGTCTTTTTGCTGTTCTTTTATGGATCGTTTCTGGAGCACCTCTACCAAGAGTCCAACAGTAGTCTGCAAGCATGGAAGGATTCCACTTTCCCTGGTACCTTTTTTCCATTGTTGAAATATCCTGATGAAAACGTTCGCCGTGCTCATCACTTACGGCTCCGCAATTGTCAGGAAAAAAGTCCAGGTGTGGGTGTAGGAAATGTATCTTAAGGGACATATTACAGCCCATCTTTTGATACGATGACAGCATATTTTTGACAAGGGTTTTATAGTTGTCAGCTTTTCTATTTCCCAAGAAATTAGTGACCACCAGACGGAAATCATTCCAAGCAGTTTTTTCAATACCTGTTAAAGTGTTTTCAAACTGTGTATCTTTCAAAATATTTCAAATCTGTGGCCCAACAAAAATACCTTCTTTAACCTTTGCCTCATTTAGTATTGGAAATTTCTGACGCAGGTATTGAAAAGCTGACCCATCTCTATCTAATGCCTTGACAAAGTTTTTCATTAGGCCCAACTTGATATGCAGTGGTGGTGATAAAATTTTTTTCGAATCTACTAATGGCATATGGTGCACATTTTTTTGACCTGGCTCTAGGAATTGACGAACAGGCCAGTTTTGTCTGGTCTAATGAAGTGCCTTTGCCCGACTGTCCCATTCACACAAAAAACAGCAAAACTTTGTGTAGCCTAGCTGCAGCCCAAGTAAAAGTGCAACAACTTTCAAATCGCCACAAATATGCCATTGGTGCTCATCGTATTTTATGCATGTCAATAGGTACTTCATATTGTCATATGATTCTTTCATGTGAACTGCATACCCTACAGGAAGAGATGGTAAAATATTTCCAATATGCAATAACACTGCCTTTAAACTCAATGTTGAACTGTCTATAAACAATCTCCATTCTTCTGGGTTATAGTTTATATTTAAAGCCGCTAATAAGCCGTTAATGTTACTGCAGAAAACCAAGTTATTCTCCATATTGAAAAATGGTTCTAAGTCTTTGTGGCGTTTACGAAAAACACATACCGAAACATCGTCTTCTAACAAGTTCCACTGCTGCAGTCTTGATCCAAGTAACTCTGCCTTACATTTTGGAACTTCTAAATCTCTTACAGGATCATTTAATTCTGACTGTGTTATTTTGTGCGGTTGGTGGCATGACGTGCTCGGTATAAAATCAGGATATCTTGACGTTGATGGCATATCTTCTTCCTGACCAATCACTCGATCGCCATGATCTGATTTGTTTTCTGATTCGCAAGTGTAGGATTCTGGGGGTTTTGGAATAGGATTTTCGTCACTGTGAGGCACAGGTCTCATCGCAGATGGTATATACGTATTTGGGTAGTTAATAACCGATTTTTTTTTCTTGGACATACCTGTGGCTTGTCCAACACAAGGTACCATGCAAAAGTAACAATCATTAATATGATTTGTAGGCTCTCTCCAAACCATTGGGACAGCAAAGCGCATAGACCGTTTTTTGCCATTTAACCAGCTCCTCAGACTTGAAGCAGATGTATTACAGCAGATGTGGGGTGCCCACTGTTTGTCTTGATCACCTAGTTTACAACCGAAATAAAGCTGATATGCCTTTGTTATTAGTGGAGTAATAGACCGTCTCTGAGACGCAAAAGTCACATCACCACACACGTAACAAGACTGATCTGGATTGATTACACACTTTCGAGACATCTTGCATGAGCGCTGTCAGCCAACTGAGGAAAAAATGGCTAATATAAAACAATATAATGTACACGTATGTATAACGTAACACAATCATGCCGATTACATCATCTTTCCTTGCCGAATATAAAAACGTAGCAAGTGCATTCTTGTGAATTACAGTATATTAACACTGTCACAGCAGGAACACATATAATTACCTCATCTCTAAAACTTGAACTAATATTGAAAAAATAAGTGTCATTCCGGTTTTAGCACATTAAAAATAGTAATATTTTGTTGATTTTATTTAGGATATTTTTTGGCTGTTGATCAGTGTAATTAACCCTGGCTGCTTTCTGCTCTTCAGTGTACAGGTGGGGTATCCAACGAGAAACTAATTTGCTTACTCCTAATTCTTCATGTAAAATCTTTTTAATTGAGGTCTTTGAGATCTTCAAGGACGCCTCAATCTCGCGATATATCACATGTCTATCTTCAATGATGAGTTTGCGCACAGCATCGACGTGTTCCTGGGTGACTGCCGTTTTTGGTGCACCCACCCTGGGATCGTCCCCAAGACTCACCCGTCCACGTTTGAATTCTCCATACCAACGGGAAATTGTCGACTGATGTGGCGCTTCGTTGCCGAAAACAGACAGTAACTCAGCAAGGCATTCTTGTTGCGATAAATGTCTCTGAAAGTTGTAATAAATTATGGCGCGTAAGTGTTCTCGGTTGATTTCCATTTTTCTAATGACTTGATGACACTTAAAAATTCACTGTAGTGAGAACACGTATTGTTGTGAAACTTTGAATTTAAGTTTACTAAAGAGTGAGGTTAAGATTCAGTACTAACGTTCGATCCGCGCGGCCTACTATGTTTATATATGCAAAACTTAAAAAATCCCTCGTAAACCACCTGTCGAGTAAGATTTGACTAGTTTCTATTGTAACATGACAGCACGCGATGATGTCATCAAAATTTTGCGTATGGCCTCCCTACTATAATGCAGAAGAAACCGACCAGACATGGATTATAAGAAATTACATGAAGCGTCTTCTCCTGATATAACTACTCTGTGGTGTTACCGAAAAAAAAGCCGTGCAAGGAACTATTAGTTGTGTATTCCTTCGAAAGCAAAGACCGTATGTCAATGCATTTGGTTGATACGTTAGTTGACACTGCTTGGCACTGAATGTAATATGTTCTCGAAACAAAATAGGTGGTTACAAAAAAGACAGGTGCAATCCATCGGACAAATTTTGTTACTGCCGTAATAGACTTTTCTCTGGATGGGGACCTTGCCAGCTTTTTCATAACTTCAGCAAATATGCTGCTAAATGACGCTGTAGGTTGTTTATTACTGTTAAGTGGTTTACAAATTCAACTTGTTGACTGTATAAAAAATACTTTGTAAGAAGAAAAATTTAACTTAAGATATTACATAAAATGCCAGATAATGTACTATCTGACACATTAAGAGTAGAAACAATTTCAGTTGATTTGAAATTGCTTTTTTCATTTATTGTTCCATATTGAGTATACAGGGTCTTAGAGAAATAATATTCGTAACTTCAAGAGGTGATTCCTTGCATTAATCTAAGCAAAAAAAAGTTCATTGTAACTTATGTCCGAAAATCAATCGTTTTCGAGGAAAGTGAGTCGTAAATAATTAAATTTTCTCAAACATTTGGCAACGCTGCACGGCAACCGCGATACGAGCGCACCACGACCGCAACTGATCGAATTGTTTACGTTTCTTTGTTAAAAATATGACTTGAATCACTATATGCGCTGTCTTTTTGCTGTTCTTTTATGGATCGTTTCTGGAGCATCTCTACCAAGAGTCCAACAGTAGTCTGCAAGCATGGAAGGATTCCACTTTCCCTGGTACCTTTTTTCCATTGTTGAAATATCCCGATGAAAACGTTCGCCGTGCTCATCACTTACGGCTCCGCAATTGTCAGGAAAGAAGTCCAGGTGTGAGTGAAGGAAATGTATCTTAAGAGACATATTACAGCCCATCTTTTGATACGATGACAGCATATTTTTGACAAGGGCTTTATAGTTGTCAGCTTTTCTATTTCCCAAGAAATTAGTGACCACCAGACAGAAATCATTCCAAGCAGTTTTTTCAATACATGTTAAAGTGTTTTCAAACTGTGTATCTTTCAAAATATTTCAAATCTGTGGCCCAACAAAAATACCTTCTTTAACCTTTGCCTCACTTAGTCTTGGAAATTTCTGACGCAGGTATTGAAAAGCTGACCCATCTCTATCTAATGCCTTGACAAAGTTTTTCATTAGGCCCAACTTGATATGCAGTGGTGGTAATAACATTTTTTTCGAATCAACTGATGGCATATGCTGTACATTTTTTTGACCTGGCTCTAGGAATTGACGAACAGGCCAGTTTTGTCTGGTGTAATGAAGTGCCTTTGCCCGACTGTCCCATTCACACAAACAACAGCAAAACTTTGTGTAGGCTAGCTGCAGCCCAAGTAAAAGTGCAACAACTTTCAAATCGCCACAAATATGCCATTGGTGCTCATCGTATTTTATGCATGTCAATAGGTACTTCATATTGTCATATGATTCATTCATGTGAACTACATACCCTACAGGAAGAGATGGTAAAATATTTCCAATATGCAATAATACTGCCATTAAACTCAATGTTGAACTGTCTATAAACAATCTCCATTCTTCTGGGTTATAGTTTATATTTAAAGCCACCAGTAAGCCGTTAATGTTACTGCAGAAAACCAAGTTATTCTCCATATTGAAAAATGGTTCTAAGTCTTTGTGGCGTTTACGAAAAACACATACCGAAACATCGTCTTCTAACAATGCACCACTTGATCCAAATAACTCTGCCTTACATTTTGGAAGTTCTAAATCTCTTACAAGATCATTTAATTCTGACTGTGTTATTTTGTGCGGTTGGTGGCATGACGTGCTCGGTATAAAATCAGGATCTCTTGACGTTGATGGCATATCTTCTTCCTGACGAATCACTCGATCGCCATGATCTGATTCGTTTTCTGATTCGCA